TCCGGCCCCGCCGATCCCACCGGGGTCTCCGCGGGTCGGATGAAGCCCACCCTGACCACGACGAGGGGCGGAAGGGAATCCCCGCTGGAGGTGGGGTGTCCACACTCCCCCTCACGGGTAGGTGCAGGTCTGGGCTCCTGTCCTGATGGCGACCCCAATTTCCCCCTCTCGTTCCGTTGTTTGCTGTTGCCGGTTGGCTTGGAGTCCCCTCTCAGCAGAGGTGTGGAAAAGGTAGATAGGCTTCTCACAGAAGCCTGGAAGGGCTAAGCAGGAGTTCCTGGCTCCTTTTCCATCTTCCCTTCTCTGTCGCGATTCTGCCTCGGAGCTGCGACAGCAGCTCGTTCTCCCGCCGCGGATCGCTCGGTGTGGAAACGAGCAGCAGCGAAAAGCGACCAAGTTTAAACCACCTCAACCCACCCTCATGGCCTTTATTTGCTTCCAGAGAGCTTAAATATTGTAGCAGAGAGGCCACGAGGAGCAAGATAACCTTGGTGCGTTTAAAAAACCACAAAGAAAACCACCCCCCAACGCGAATCCATTCCCTCCTCCCCTCCACATCCCATTGAAACTTCCAGCCGTGTAAGTAGCAGGCACACAAGGTATTGTTATAAAACCTCTTCTCCTAACAAAATTTGGACAGCAAAGTTTGTTTTTTTTAAAAAAGGCACTTTTGTGTAGATGTCGCTTGCATCGCCTTGTCTAGACCGAAGCTCTTTTCTAAGTAGGTTTTTTGCTTTGTTTTTTATTTTAATCGCACTTTATTATATTAAGCAGAAAGGGCATTTGGAATAGAGGTGGTCCCATCTGGAAAACCCCGGAGCTCATTTAGATCACATCACTTCGGGCTTTTGTCTCTGCTCTTGAATAACCCAGCTAGACACAACAAAAGGGCAGAGATCTCTCTACGTGGAGTTTTTTCAGTAGCAAAAGGACGCCTCGGAAAGATGCTTCTATATTCATAATAATGAGGGGGGAAACGACTCAACGGGATCTTCTCTTGGCTCTCGAAAGACAACCAGGAGAGTTCAGGGATGGGGCATTTTTGGATAGTTTTTTACCCCATCGGTAGCTGAAAACCAGCACGCCGGCTAAAGGGAAGGAACAGAGAACGGCACCTTTTGTCTGATGGAGGTCTCTTAAATTCTCAGTTTAATATGCTCGGAGCGATCCAAACGCGAGGTGGTCCTCGCCGAAGGTACGTGCAGAGCTTAGCCGGGAGGCGCGGATACCCCCGCGGGGGGAAGGCTGCCCACCAACCCCCCCGGCATCACTCACCCGATAGAAACAGCACCTCGGAAAAAAAAAAAAAAAAAAAGCGATTTATCATTTTATTTTTTCCTACGGGAAGGGAAGGGACTGGCAGCCCGGGAGGAGATGGGCGCTCCCTAACCCTCTATTCAGCTCTTCAAAACACGAGGGTGGTTATTTCTGTTCTGCCTGAGGATGGGGTGGCAGGGAGGAAGAGAGCTGCAAGTTTAGGTGTACATGAAGTATCACCCCAGGGGGTGGTGGACTGTGGCGGGGGGAAAGATCCCAAACGAAAAAAGCCGCCTCAGCTATTGAATTATTTTTTTTTTTTTCCCCAAATGCATAAAGAGCTCTGAACATCTTGCATCAGAAATGTGCCTGCTCCGAAGTGTTTAAACGAGCAACAAATTTCCACGGTGGCGAAGCAGGGCCCCAGTCGGGCTGTGATGGGGAGCAGCGATCCCAAACTTCCAAGAGAAACGTGACGAAGAGTCATCACGTCAGTAAATAATTCAATTTTGCGTCTTTCAGAACCCAGTAACCTTGGGTGTCTTAGAAAGCAGATTGTACAAACAGGCAATTAAGATGAGCACAGAGACTTTCAGAGGAGATATAATGAACCAGCTTTAATTACTATCTTGAAATTAAAAATGTAATATACAGATTTAAATTTATTTTCACCTAAATTGTGTATAAAATTATATGGCGTTCTCCACCCCCCCTTCCCTTTTTCCCAGGCTAAGAAACGAATTGCCACCAAGCTTGTCACTAAAAAGTCTGAAGTACTTTCCAAACCCTGCTCCCCAACACGCAGTAATAATGATACATTTATCATTACTGATGACCGCCCACTGGTTTATTATTGCTTTGTTGCAACTATTACAATCAAGAGATTTCTTTATTTACTGTTAACATTCACTTAAAGCTGAATGTTAATGACTCTTCTGAATTCACCGAAGACTTTTCCGTTATATTTCAGGAGTAGTTACGGTTTGGGTTTCAGAAACGGCAGAAAAGGAGGAGAGATGCTGGGTGGTGGTTTGCTCCTGGTTTTTATTTATTTATTTTTTTCCCCCTCTTAAAAGGCTGTTTAAGAGGATTTATCTAAGTCGGATTTTCAACAAAGAGTTGCAAAAGCCCTGGCATAATGTACGTACTTGACTGCAGCTAATTATGAGTGTATTTTATTACAGGAGATTCATTCATTATTGATAAATGTTTGCAGTAACTTCCTGCTATGTAGAGTTGTATTTTACGAGGAATAAACAACCTATGGGGATTGGGAGTGTTTGGCTTTTACGCTTCTGCACTCTTTGACAGTTCCCATTACCCACTTCGGGGTCTGGCTTGTCACCTTCCCTCTCTCTACACCCAAAAAGCAACTTCTTTCCTCTTCCCTCACCGCCGCATTCCTCTCATTCCCTTACTCCTTGCCATGATTATCATTTAAAAAATATAAAATAATAATAAAAAAAAAGTGATTTGTGTAGCGCAGGTTTTACCATAGGCACTCTTCCCTAAAGCCAGGTCCATATGGATGCCTCCAAAGGGTTTTACAGACCGGGATGAGCTCCTGTTTCGGGCCAGCCGATGGGCAGGAGCTGTGCAACAAGCAGCCAACGCGCAGGAAGGGTTGGAGGGCGGGGAAAA